AGAGAGAGAGAGAGAGAGAGAGAGAGAGAGATGTTCTGGGCCCACCAAAGGTCCCACTTTCTTTCTGACCAGGAGAGAGCCCTGACTGTCTTCCCAGACTTATCTGCCCATCCCCAGGACTGGGACCTTACACTCTTCACAGCCTCTTAGTCTTTCAAGTTCCGATATGTTCAAAGTTCTTCCTCATAGCATTTATACATTTATTTGTTCATTTATTCCTTCAGGCACTGCTTAGGCATCAGGGATATGGTGGTAAAAAAAAGTCAGACATGGTATCTAACCTGGTGAAGCCATGGTTTAGTGGGGGAGGCAGATGTGAATGAAATTGTAATCATAAATGGCAGTAAATGCTATCACAAAAAATAATAGAGTGACTGAGGGAGTTATAGAGACCTGAAGTAGCCTGTAGGGGGAGGGTGGGTAAAGAGATCTGAGCTGAGATCTAAGGCATGAGCTGGAGCTCCAGGGGCAATGGAAGGGATGAGGGCAGTAGGAAGGGGCAGGGTGAGGCAGGTCAGGCGACTGTCAAGCAGTGGGAACTTGAAAGAAGTCCCCGAGTGGCGGCGGGGGAGGGCACCCGTTGGAGGAGCAGAGTGGTGACTATTGGAGCTGGAGTTCAGAGAATGGGTGGGAGAGTGGGAGAAGGTGAGGTCAGACAGATGAGGGTAGGGGTCAGATCATGTAGGGCCTTGTAGGCCATGAAGAGGACTTTGGACTTCATCCTAAGTGTGATGGGAAACCCTTGAAGAGGATTAAGTAGGGAAGGGGCATGAAGAGATTTGTGTCTTTAAAAGATCCCTTAGGCAGCTGGGAAAGAATGGCCTGTAGCAGGACAGGAGAGGAAGCAGGGAGATCAGTGAGAAGGCTAGAACAGTTTTCTACGTGAGATGCAATGGTGGTCTGCCCTAGGATAGTGACAATTGGGGTGGTGAGAAGTGGATGGATTTGGGAAATATTAATATATTAGAGATAACATTGCTGGGAACTGAAGATAGATGGGATATTGGAGGGGGTGAGGGAGAGAGGCGTATTGAGGATGTCATGCCCAAATTTGCATCCCTATGATTTACTGGCACCCTCACTGGTTCTAATCCTGCCTTGTGAGGCCACCCAGGAAATGTCACTCCTTATCTTCGGAAGGCAGAATAGTGAAGTGGCAAATCACCTTCATTCTAGGACCAGATTGTATGGGTTCAAATCTCTGACTAGTTGTGTGACATTGAAAAGTTATTTCACCTCTTTGTGCTTCACTTTCCATATGTGTAAAATGTAGATATTAACAGTTTCTTGTGAGGGTTACATGAAAGACTACAAGTACAATACGTAGAGCAGTACCTGCACATAGGAAGAGCTCACAAATGTTAACTGTTATTATTTCATAGTCTTTGGAAAATTTAAAGATAATTTTCATCATCTTCCCCAATTTTTCTATCCCTCTCATTAAGCAGGGCTGTTCACAGAGCACAGAAGAGCCAAGCAGACCTGGCTTGCCCAGTAATGCTCCAATTTATATCCCTCCACCTCTCCTCTGCTTGGGAAGCATCAGCAGTTCTCTTGTCCAACAAAGTAAAGGTCAAAGCTACAGCTTGACCAATTTGTTTCTGTTTAACCTTCCCAGTCTTAACATCCCTCCTCTCCCAAGGCCTCTAATTCTGTGCCTATGTACTGAGGCCCAGAGAAGTTAAGTAACTGGCCAAAAGTCTCAGAGCAAGCAAGAAAGCAGCTGTCCTATCACTGGAGTCTGCACAAGCCTTTTAGACTCCCAGCTCCTGGTGCTGTCCATCTATACCTCCCCCTCATGGCTTGACCTCTTGCCTGTGGCACTCACCATCTTCATCAGGAGTGAAGAAGGTATATAAAGCTGGTGGGTTCAAGGACTCCACAAACTTGGACTTCACCATTGACTCAGACAGCAGTTCTAGCTCCTCAGGGAGAATGAGCAGACTGATGGCCTCAGAGAAGGTGCTGGAAGGCGGCAGCAAGATCGGCAGGTTTGGAGGGCTGCCTTCTGTCGTAGGCCTGGAGATGTTGAGTAGGCCCATTGTTGAGATTCCTGGCCCAGGTGGTCCCAGGACTTGCCTGGTGCTCTGAGGCCCCAGCAGCAGGTCATGCTGATGCCAAAGCCTTCCAGCGGGCAAGGTGGGGGTAAAGGGTGTGGCGAGGGGTTCTCCAAGGACAGAGGTGGTCATGGTACTGCTAGGATCTGTGGGACTTGAGACTGTGTTTGGGAATGTGCTTAGGCTCTGAGGAGGTGGGGGTCTGGGTCTGGCAGGTCTAGGGGGAGGTGGAATTTGGGGTGTATGGGGCATTAGGGTCCCAGGCTTGGAAAGTGATAAGCTTGTGGAAGTTTGGTGCAGTGGGGCACTAGGTTCAAGAGGTGATGGGATTTTAGGGGTCTTGGGTAACAGGATCCCAGGTCTGGGGTGTGGCAATTTGTTTGGAGTCTTGGGAGCTGGAACCCTAGGTCTGGTGTGTGGTGGTGGGTGTCTGGGGATCTGAAGTGTGGAGCCTCCAGGTCTGGGCTGTGGCAGGCCTTTGGGTGACTGTACTGAATGTACCCCAGGCTGGGGGGGTAATGGAGCACCAGGTTTGGAATGCAGTGGAGTAACATGTTTCATAGTGCTAGCTTTGGGCTGGGCTAGGGTGCCAGGATTCAGAGGGGGGACTTGCATCTTGGAATTGATGGGTAATACGATACCAGGATTCCAGTGTGATGGAGTGCTGGGCTTCAGAGGGAGTAGAACGCCAGAATTTGAGGGCACAAGGACAGCAGATTTTGTCCTGAGAGTTGTCTGGGCCAAGATGCTAGAATCCTGTTGGGTTGGCAGTTTGGGCTTTGGGTGTGCTAGGGTTGTTAGGGTACTAGGGCTCTGGCCTACTGGCTCCAATTCCTTGGAACTGGGCATCTTCTTGGTAGAGGCAGTAGTAGTGGAGGATAAGTAGAACTTTGGTTTTGCAGGCCTTGATTTTGGGGAGATCTTGGGCACTAAGGCTGGCTGAGGTGTGCTTGTCCCTAGGCCATGCCTACTGCTGGGTGAGGGCATGATGGTGCTTGGCCCAGCTGTGGTGAAGATCTGTCTCCTAGCCTCCTCACTGTCCTCCTTGGGCTGCACCATGACCAGTGAAGTCAGAGGTGTGACAAAGTTGTATTCAAGGGACAGGTTGAGGACTTTGGCAGCCAGCAGGCAGCGAGTGGTGGTGTCACGGGATTGGAAGTGTGCCTCCAGAAGCTCTCCAATGGTGACATAGGCCCAGAGGCGGCGGATAAAATGGGCCACATTGGGAGCTGGCTCCCCTGGGCAACCAAAGGCCTTGTGGCTGCTGTTCGTGGCTCCTTCGCTGTGGCGGGCCACAAGAAGCTGACCCTTGGGGCCACGGGCTGCCAGGTGGATGCCTAGCTCTTGCTCACCTGGCTGCACCTGGCCTGCCACCACCAGCTCTGAGCCACCAAAGTAGTTGGGGAACAGGGCCCAAGGGGAGGCCCCAACCAAGCCACCCAGGTAGTCCAGACGCACATCTGCCAGCAGAGGCATGGAGATCTCCTTGTAGAGTCCCTCCAGCTGTAGAGCTGCATCAGTGTCCTCGTATATGCGCCGGGCTATGCCCCGGTTCTCCAAGGACAGGCGACGCAGCAGTGGAAAGTCAGCATCATCGCCAAAGGCCAAACTGAAAAGGGATACCCTGTGGCCTAGTGCTTGATGGATGTTGGAGAGGATCACACTGGGGGTCGTCACGCCGGCCGTGGGTTCCCCATCTGTCAGGAAGATGATAAGAGGGATCCTCCCCACATTGGGGCCCCTCTCAGGTTCCTGGTTGCTATGGTTCAGCACTGAAGCAGCTGCCAGCAGAGCTGCGTTGATGTCGGTCCCTAATTGGGGAGCAGATTGTGAGACCATCTTCTGTGGTCACTTTTACCCCCATTGCAGATACACTGATACACTGGGCACCTTACCAACCTCCCAGGATCAGTCACATCTCCTCATTTTTGCTCAGGCTGTGTCTGCTGCTTCTTCTTCCCAACTCCCCCACCCCCACCCAAGCTCCCTGAGATCTGACAGTTGAACCCACATGTCCTTGGATTTTATCACTCCCTGTCTCAGACTGTTTTTTGCCTGTTTCCTGGGCGGATGTCTCATTCCCTAGTCAGACTGGCAGCTACCCAAGGATAGAACCCCCACCTTCTTGTTACAAGGGAAGAAAGGGCTGAGTTGACAGGGAGGTGGTGGGTGGGGGAGACATCAGTAATTATCTGAGAGAGTATTTATCAAAAGCCAGAATTGGGGCAGCAGCTTAGGCAAATGCTTAGAAATAAATATCTAGATTATTGATGTTTTAAAAGTCTTAGCAAATTCTTCTGAATGTTTGCTTTCAAGAGGAGAAAACTCAGGCCCAAAGAGAAATATATCCTAAAATACATGGAGAATCAGCTCTGCTCCACAAGGAAAGGGAAATAGGAGGGGAAATCAGAGGATGGAAGGAAATGTTTGTGTAAAATATAGTAGTGATATTTCAGGCTCTGCAAGAGGTGAGGAGGCTGGGGGAATGAAGACAGGGTTTCAGGAATTTCCCACATCACCACAGCCTGCCCATGTGGGTGGGTAGGTCTAATACTTACAACCATCAGCTTCCATGTGATCCAAGTAGTCCTTGGCACTGTGGACATTCTGGTTGGTGGCCTGGATCAAGCCTCCAGCTTTCCAGACACTAACTGTGTCAGAAAATGAGATGATGTTGAAGTAGTCGTTGGCCTGCAGGTCACTGAGAATCACATTCATGGCCTTTTTAGTCTGTGGGATATGGATGAAATGAAGGGAGTAGGACAAGGCTTGAGGTCTATGAGATTGAAAGACACATGCTATGCAAGGTGCTAAGGTTTAAGTGTTGTATTGTTTTTAAGACCTTCTGACTCCAGCATTCTGTGAGTCTCGGATTCTCAGGTGAGAATGCTGTATGGGTTCTATAGTCCAAAGCCTAGAACTGCACTGTCCAATATGGTAGCTACTAGCCACATGTAGCTATTTAAATTTAAATGTAAATTATTTAAAATTGAAGAAAATTTTAAAAATTTACTTCTTCACTTGCAGTAGCCATATTTCAAGTGTTCAATAACCACATATGGTCAGTGGCTACTGTATTACACAGCATGGAATTTTAGAGCATTTCTATCATCAAGAAAGTTCTATTGAACCTCTCACAGAAGGTTCAAACTCTATGTTTTTAGAGCTCTAGAGTCCATGTGTTCTGTGGTTCTTGGACCCCACGATCCAGGATTGAATGATTCCAGGACCCTAAAGTTTAGGAGTTTTATGATTCCAGGTCTTTATGGCTGACTTTCAATGACTTTGCATCCATCCTTTGGTTCTGCTCTAATCTGCCCATCTACCTCACCCTCTGTTCCTTCCAGGCTAGTCTTCTCACCTGCCCCTAGATAACCCAGATTTCAGTTCACCTCCATAACTTTGCTCTTGTTGTGCCCATGAGATAGCATACCCTTCAATTGCCCCTTTATTTATTCATATCTTCACTGTTCTTTCAGTTGCTCCTTTTCTATAAAGCTCTTCCTTGAGTTGCCTACCCTGACCCATGCCTTTCTCACCCAGATATTTCCTGTCCCAGACTATTTGCTGACTGTCTTATGTGAAATATTTTTACCCTCCATCTAGATATTGAGCTCTCTAAGAGCAGGGCTTAGGATACTTCTTGTCTCCCTTCTATATGACAATACTTAGCATAAGTCTATGCACATAGGAGTTTAGGGAATAGAATATGTAGGATCTAGTAAAAGGTATCATTTATGGGACACTTGCTATGTTCCAGGCACTCTGCTAAACACTTTAGATGCGTCAGCTTATTTAATCCTCACAGCAACACAATGAAGAAGGTACTAATATTGTCCCATTTTATAGGTGATGACACTGAGGCTCAGAGAGGTGGAGTGACTTGCTCAAGGTCATACAGCTAGTCACTAAATCCACATTCGGGACGTGTTAAATCCAGTGATCTTAAGCACAATATTATACCTTCAATCCTTTTGATAGGTATGGATTTCAGAGACCACAGGAAGGACAGTTGAGATCTACCTTCCTCTACACCTTAAACTGATAGGAAATGGTTTGAATGCTTCTAAGTGGATCACAGTCTTTCCTGCCACAGGGAAAGCTCAGAGGATAGGTCACACATCCTGGGACAGGGAGCTAAGCACCACACTTTTGTTTCCATTAAGAGGGCTGAGACTTAAGAGGATGGCCTTTCCTGAGAACAGTGGTAGAAAAGTGAGAGCCTTAAGGGGGCCTAGAAGTCAGCACCTCTTGTCAACCAGGAACAGATTTTGTTTTTAGAAGTGTGTTGCTTAATCTCCAATTATTTTGAGAGTTCCCAGCTATCTTTGTATTATTGATTTCTAGCTTAATTTCACTTGGTCTGAGAGCATATGTTGTATAATTTGTATTCTTTTAAATTTGTTAAAGTGTATTTTATGGTCCAGAATTTGGTCTATCTTGGTAAATGCTCCATGTGAACATGAGAAGAATGTGTAATCTGCTGTTGTTGAATAAAGTATTCTAGAAATGTCAATTAGATCCAGTTGATAAATGGTTCTGTTCAGTTCAACTATGTCTTTACTGATTTTCTGCCTGCTGGATCTGTCAATTACTGATAGAGAGATGGTAAAGTCTCTAGCTCTAATAGTGGATTCATCTATTTTGCCTTCCAGTTCTATCAGTTTTTAACTTCATATTTTGGTACTCTGTTGCTAGGTGCATATATATTGAGGATTGCTATGTCTTCTTGGAGAATTGACTCCTTTATTATCATGTAATGCACCTGTTTATCACTAATAATTCCCTTGCTCTGAAGTCTATTTTCTCTGAAATTAATATCGCTACCTCACCTTTCGATTTGAGTTAGCATGGTATATCTTTCTCTCTTTTTTTTTGTGAAGTCACACCACTACTTTTTTATTTCAATAGATTTGGGGGTACACGTGTTTTTGTTACATGGATGAATTGTATTATATAATGTTGAAGTCAGAACTTTTAGTGTACCCATCACCAGAATAGTGTACATTGTACTCAATAGATAGATTTTTATTCTTCAGCTCTCTCCCACACTCCCTACTTCTAATGTTAGCATGGTATATCTTTCTTTATATCCCTTTACTTTTGATCTGTGTCTTTATATTTAGGGTGAGTTTCTTATAAACAATATACAGTTGGGTCTTATTTTATTATCCATCCTGACTGGCAGTTTCTGTCTTTTAATTAGTATATTTAAACAATTTACGTTTACAATGGTTACTGATATAGTTGGATTCATATTTGCCATATTTGAAAATATTTTTTATTCCTTTTTCTTATTCTTTAGTCTTATTTTTTGTCTTCCACTCTTAATTGAGAATTTTACATAATCCCATTGTCTCTCATCACTTAGCATATCTATTTACTTAAAAAATTTTAGTGGTTACCCTAAAATTTGCAATATACATTTACAACTAATCCAAGCCCATGTTCAAATAACACTATACAGCTTTATGCATAGTGCAAGTACCTTGAAACAGACAATTCCCAATTGTTCACTCTTATCCCTTAAAATATAACTGTCATTAATTTCACATGTTCATAAACTAGATTCACCGAAAACATCATTGCTATTATTATTTTGAATGAAATATTATCTGTTAAATCAGTTAATAAGAGAAATAAAATATATTATTTTACCTTCATTTATTCCTTCTCTAATACTCTTTCTTTCATTAGAAAGTGAAAGGGCACGGTGGCTTACGTCTGTAATCTTAGCGCTCTGGGATGCCAAGGCAGGAGGATGGCTTGAACTCAGGAGTTCGAGACCAGCCTGAGCAAGAGTGAGACCCTGTCTCCAGTCTCTACAAAAAATAGAAAAATTAGCCAGGCATTGTGGCACACACCTGTAGTCCCAGCTACTCAGGAGGCTGAGGTAGAGGATTGCTTGAGCCCAGGAGTTTGAGGTTGCTGTGAGCTAGGCTGATACCACAGCATTCACCCAGGCAACAGAGTGAGACTGTCTCAAAAATAAAAAAAAAAAGAAAGTACTAGTAGTAGTTGTAGTAGTAGTAGATTCAAGCATCTGAGGTACACCATTTTCCTTCTCTGAAGAAATTCTTTTACCATTTCTTGATAAGCAAGTCTAATGGTGAAAATTCCTTCAATTTTTGTTTGTCTGAGAAAGTCTTTATCTTTCACTTGGGAAAGATAATTTTGATGTATACTTCTAGGCTGGTGGGTTTTTTCCTTCAATACTTGAAATATTTCACTCCACTCTCTTCTTGCTCCCAGGATTTATAAAGAGAAGTTTGATGTAATTCATATCCTTGCTCCTCTATAGGTAAGATGCTTTCTTCTTACAGTTTTGTAAAAAGATTTTCTCTTGGTCTTTAATTTTCTGCAATTTGAATATGATATTCCTAGGTGTAGTTTTTTGTTATTTATACTGCTTGGTGTTCTATGAGCTTCCTGGACCTGTGGTTTGGTGTCTATCATTTACTTTGGAAAATTTGCGTCTGCTATTATTTCAAATAGTTCTTCTGTTCCTTTCTCTCTTACTTCTTCTTCTTTTATTCCCATTATGTACATGTTACATCTTAGTAATTGTCCTACAGTTCTTGGATATTCAGGGTAGTTTTTAAAAAAATTCTGATTTCTTTTTCTTTTCTACTTTGGGAAGTTTTTATCGACATGTATTCAAGCTCACTTATTCTTCCCCTTGCCACATCCGGTCTAATGACGGACCAATCGAAGGCATTCTTTATTCTTATTACTGTGTTTTTGATTTCAAGTATTTCCTATAGACTTTCATAGGGTTTCCATAACTCTGCTTACATAGCCCATTTATTTATTTATTTATTTTTCTGAGACAGAGTCTCACTTTGTTGCCCTGGCTAGAGTGAGTGCCTAGCTCACAGCAACCTCAAACTCCTGGGCTGAAGTGATCCTACTGCCTCAGCCTCCCGAGTAGCTGGGACTACAGGCATGCGCCACCATGCCCGGCTAATTTTTTCTATATATTTTTAGTTGGCCGATTAATTTATTTTCTATTTTTAGTAGAGACAGGGTCTCGCTCTTGCTCAGGCTGGTTTGAACTCCTGAGCTCAAACAATCGGCCCGCCTCGGCCTCCCAGAGTGCTAGGATTACAGGTGTGAGCCACCGCGCCCGGCCAATAGCCCATTTATTCTTGCATGTTGTCTATTCTATCAATTAGTGCCCTTAGCATATTAATCATAGTTTATTTAAATTCCCACATGGATAATCCCAACATCACTGACATATCTAAGTCTGGTTGTGACGTTTGTTAAGTCTCTTCACACAATGTTTATTTCCTTTTAACGTGCCTTAAAATTTTATATTGAAAGCCAGACATGATGTACCAAGTAAAGGAACTAAAATAAAGCATTTAATATGAGCTTTTATGTCTATCTGGCTAAAAGTTGGGATGTGTTTCGTACTTGCAGTAGTGGTAGGTGTCAGAGGATAAAATACCTTTTAGTGCCCATGTTTTTGTCTCCCCTGTTGTCTTTGGACCTCCCTAGGGACTCTTTCTGTAGTAGGATCTAAGACTCGTAGTTCTATCAGCCATAACCTCCTGTTATCATACAGAAGCCCAGTTGATGTGATGGTAATGTGCGGGGTGAGAGGATGCATGCTATATTGTTATAAATAAATAGGTCTCATACTTTTAG